TTTATCCTTTAATCTCCTCAACCCGCACACTCGCCAAACCGTTTTAAATGTCCAACATTGATAAACCGTAGAAAACGAATCAATCAATCATATACACCCAGTTTATACTTTCTGTACTCTTATGTTCAATTCAGAAGCATACTTAGAAGTTAAAGGATGATACATCTGTGCTGCCCTCACAGAAGAATTTTTTTAATAGCGAACATTTAATATGTGCGTAGCGCATTGTCTCTGGGTTTGGAAATTTGGTTGCATTTACTTGCACACAAATATCTTGGGGTAACTATGAATCCATTTTTTTCTTTTTTCTCTAGCAGGTCTGAATGGCGGTTCTAGCTTTGGTTGGCAGCCAGTTTAAGAGATGGATAATTCAAAAACCAATAGGAGATGGAGCTTAGTGAGAAGGACACCTTTCTCGTCTTAATAACTGAAAAATCCTATATATATATATATATATATATATATATATATATATATGAAAAAAAAATAATTCAAACAGAAAATTCTGAATATTATTAATTAATGTTAAAATAAAGTCGATCGTTTTTTGTATTAAATTGTTGTCTTCATAATTTTAATTTTAAACATAAATAAAAATGTCCATGAAGATTTAACACAAATAGACGAAACGACATACGTCGACTTTATTTTTAACATTATAATGCATATTCAGAATTTTGTTTTTTCTGTATTTTTCTTTCATACTGTCGGATTTATATCCATATATTTGCTTACATATATATATATATATATATCCTTTAGTTTACCTTTATTCATTATTAACTCAATCCCAAAATTTTAAAATTTTGATCAATAAAATTAAAATCCACTGAAAATTGGCTTAATTTGTAGTTTAACACCCGCGCTCAGTTCGCATTAAAAATTTCCAGAATACTTACCTTTATGTGTAATTGCACATGCTGCATTCGAATTTGGGTTGATAAATTTGATGTCTAGAGCTGGAGTTGCTGCTGATGGCAGGAGCTGGAGCTGGAGCTGCTGATGGTCGGCTGGTGGGGGCTGCAACAGATACTATACTTTGATCCGAGACTTTATTTTATATGCATTTCACCCCAAATAAGGCGGGAGTGGCACCAGTACGCAAGGGGTTACAGTGAGTGAAAGTAAGAGGAAAGACTGGGTAGGGGGGGTTCAGGAAAGGATAAAAAGAAGAAAGAGGATCAAGGCATCAGAAGATTACATTACATTTAAATTTTTGAAGATTATAGTTATCAGGGAAGCAAGTAAGAGGAAGGGAGTTCCACTGTCGGGAAGTTCCACTGAGAAGAAGATGTTAGAATAGAAGAGGTGGTTACATTTAAAAAGTTGGGACCGTGATGCCAACCTAGTAGCACGCTCTAATTCATCCAGTTGGGGCCCCAGTGAAAATAGCTCGTCAGAGCAGATGCCATGAATATATTTCTAGAAAAGACAGAGGGAAGACTCATCCAGGAATCCATGTTTGTAGCATAATACCGTAGGGGAAGTCAGGAAGGCTGGTCGCCACTATCCGATTAATCTGCTTCACGGCCCATTCATTTTCGCAATTGACTCACTCACCAGAAGAACTCTTCCTTCTTCACCCAAACCACCATTTTGATTGTAAACATTTTCGTCGCATATTGTTGTTTTTTTCTTGGTTTTTGAAGCCTTTTTATATGTTGAATCAGTCTTACGTTATTCGCTGGTCAGGGAAGGTAAAGTTTCTTCTCGTGGTTCTTTTAAAAAGATGTGGGAGTGTCGACAGGATATGACATGAGTTTTAAAATATAGAATCTGATCCTTTAATGACCAAATTTTAGTATTTATATCTCAACACATATTGAAGCAATAGTCTACAATCAGTTACTTTCTTCTGCTTAGGAAATCAGGAGAAAAATGTTACAAGTCAACCAAAATTAATACAAGTCTGTAAAATGTATCCCCCGCACTAGTTCCGACTAAACCAGTGGTTCTTTACCAATTTTGGGCCATGCCCCACTTTGGTATTTCTAAAATTCTGGTCCCCACCCCGACTATAATATTTAAATCCTACTTATTCAAAGTTTTCTGCAATTCACATGAAGGAAGCTTAAAGACCATTAACTTGGTTCCTAAACAAGCCTCCAAAGACCATGGCGTCCAGAAAAGAGAAAAATTTAAAAAAAACAAAAAACAAAATGGCAGTTAAATATATATAGTTTCAAAACATATAACAAAGAACTGAAAGGCAGAAATATAAAATATTTGAATGAAATGTTATTCTGTAATATACTTTGATCATTTTAATCATGAAATAATAATGCAAAATGAAATTTGAGCTCACTTGAAAACAATTCACTGTTAATAACTCATTTTCCAATTGCCCCCTTATTCTGTTGGTATAATAAGCCGAAAGGTGCACATGCTACGTTTACCCCACCAAAATATTATTATGCCTCACCGGTGGGGGATGCGCCCCATGTTGGGAGTCATTGAACTAAAATGCTAGCCATTTTCAAACAATATTTTTGCTATACGACTATATGATGTGTAAGTACTATGAGACGATATAAAAGTGGTTGAAAGTAGATGTATTTTTAATTTCCAAGTATGGCCAGTATATTATGGCCATGTTCATGATTAATATTATTAAGAGATGGTTTCTTTTCTTTTCATAAGAAAGACTTTGATCTATCTATCTATCTATCTATCTATCTATCTATCTATATATATATATATATAAAAGTGGACATAAAAATCAACACTTAGAGGCGACAGTCCGTTTCCTGCTAGACGCAATCTTCAGGCCACGAGTGGTGTTATTTTTCTAGGCTATTTATATATATTTCATATTTACACACGCTCTATCTCTGATATTGACCACTTTATCCCATAAATATAGCACACCTTAAGACTATATTTCTTCATATATATATATATATATATATTACAAAGGTATAAAATTTTAAACCATTTTTATGCTTGAAAATGTGATGTGAGGAACCAGGAAAAATCACTTTCCTGGGGAATTAAAATATAATCAATGGGCCCTTAAGGTTGTCTGTTTTTTAATTTAAATTAAATTAATATATGGCTGTACAAACTAGTCTATTTAATTTATATTATTAATACTTATATAATTTTTTATTCTCCCACTTTCGGACGTATGAATTTGAACGATATAAATTATTAATAATTAATTATATATTTTAAATAGACAAATTTGTACACCCAATTTTTAATCATCATCACGAGAACGCGAGTGAATACTCTTTTGTGTCCATAAAAATTATATATATATATATATATATATATATGTATACACTGATGAGCTGTGATACAGCGAAACAGTCATTCTGAGCATGACAGTATATATATATATATATGCTTAGAATATTGCTGTCACATATGGTCCTGTGCCTGTGCCATTTACCTTGAGCTCCTTCATAAAATCTAAAGAAGAATCAGCAATATTATCGGCCCTGATCTGGCGATTCGGCCTTGGTCACTTCCCCACCGCCGTAATGTGCCGTTTCTATAAATACATTCATGGCAATTGTTCGGATGAGCTTTTCACCATGATACGTACGCTTTTTGAATTTAAGCACGGTACTAGATTGGCAACAAGATCTCATCAATTTACAACTGAGCTAGCTAGATATAACCGTAAATTTTATGGTTACAGTTTCTTTTCTCGCACTTCTCGCTTGTGGAACTCCCTACATGGCATCCATTTTTTTTTTTAGAGTGGAGGTTACATTAAATTTAAAATCCGGTAACCATTAGATGACCATTAGCTAGGAAGGTAGATTAGGCAATCTATCTATCTATCTATCTATCTATCTATCTATCTATCTATCTATCTATCTATCTGCATGTCTCTCTGTCTGTTTCTGTCTATGTATCTATCGCTCTACCCCTTCTATTTACCTTGAGCCCCTTATTAAAATCCAAAAAAGAATCAGCAATATTATTGGCCCTGATCTGGCGGCTCGGATTCAGTCACTTTCTCACCGCCGTATGGTTGACTCTTTGCGTCTTTTCTATAAATACTTTCATGGTAATTGTAGACTTGAATTTAAGCGCAGTACTCGACTGGCGTCGAGATCTCATCAATTTACAGTTGTCTAGATGTAACCGTAACATTCTATGCTAACAGTTTCTTTTCTCGCACTTCTCGCTTGTGGAACTCCAGGCTCCATGCTTTCCAGCCAACTTTAATCTGCAAAAATTGAAATGCAGTGTCAATCAATATCTGCTGTCCTCCTGAATACTTCCCGTCCATTATTGATATTTCTGTTTCTAATCCTTCCACGCCCAGTAAGCCTCTAATCTTAATAGCTTTACTGCTTTGCATGGGGTGATACCGATTAAATATATATAAAATCACTGGGTGCTTTACTGTGGGATGATATAAGTTTCAGACCATTGCTACTAGGTAGACCCTGACAAGCCCATTTTCCTAAGGCAGAACATTACATACGCTGATCAGAGGAAAGAGGGAGTAGTTATAATGTCAGTGGGTAATGACAAGAAAGTAGAAACGACCGTAGTTCGAATATAGTCGATGCTAAAATTAAAAATTTGATTATTGCTGAAATTTCTACAAACACCAAATATTATCACCGTATTATTTAAACATTAAACTGAATAGGTTGACCATTAATTTGAAGGCATTTCTGTCGTGAAACCGATGAAGATACATATATATATATATATATATATATATATATATATATATATATATATATATATATATATATATATGGGAACTTACGCATAATAATAAGGGAATATTCCTGACATTATAAATACTGCGCCTCTCAAGAGGTATAAGGGGAGATTGTAAGATGAGGAGAGATAATTGAGAGCATATTGTAAGGACATTGGAATAGTGATACTTGTCGAGACAACATAGTTCACTCTAACCAAATCTGATAGTCATTACTAATACTTCTACTTCTTTGTATTATATTTCTGTTGTAATATATCTTTGTATTCCATACCTGTGTTCGTGTTATTCTTTCATTGGTTCTAAC